AAGAGCTAAAGAACAGGGGTCGACTTGGGAGTAAGGCCACAGGTGGACGATGAATGGCCCCTTCCAGAGGAAATAAAAGGGGAGCGAAAGGGGTGTGGAGTTTGCAGGAGGCAATTAGTTCGCTTCATTGGTTCGTGACTCTCCGAGATTCCTTGCCAAGTTTTGCAGATATCATCCTGGCAGCTCTCCAAGCCAGATGAGGTCTGTGACTGTAAATCCTCCCTGGAAAGACTTTGCTGGATGTGAATGAGCAGAATTCACACTCAATTAATAAAAGGGTTTTTTGCCGGGACCAGGAATCTGCTTCAAGCTCTTGGGGAGCCTCATCAGTACACTCGGTGAGGATGATGTTAAACAGGAAGGGAGCCACCATGGAGAAGGCCCTTCTTCTAGATTAGGTCCTGCTCAGATTTTTCCACTCGTTAAGAGACCTGGAGAGTCACATCTTCCTCCCCTTTTCTCTCTGGGTCTCCAGTTCATCCACAACCTCTCTTTTCCCCGTTAGAGGAAACGCAGAGAGTTGATCACCATGTAGCGGGAGAACCTCACGTACAGACGGCGAAACCAGAGAAGCTGGCTGTGGTGACATCGCATTGCTCTCTGGAAAGAGAAGACAGCATCAGATGTTAGCCAGGGCAGACCAGTGGTGGGTTTCAGGAGGTACGGCCAGGTACGAGCGTACCAGTGGTAGCTGGGAGCCATGGCCCGCCCGCCCGCATTCCTTACCGCTTTTTGAGGCAAACGGGCTAATTGCGCCTGCACGCACAGCATGCAGCACCTGCGCGCCCTCCGCCGAGCAGCGCACATGCCTGACGAGGACGCCCGGCCCCGTCACAGCATATCGCTCGCGATGGGATCCGGAACCCACCACTGGGCCAGACTTATAGTTAAAGAGATGGTTTGGGTGAATCCATGAATACAGGTAGTCCTCATCTTACAACGGTTCGTTTAGTGACCAAAGTTACAACTGAAAAAAGTGAGAATTTCTGCTGTGGCCTGTTGACCGCCAGGCCCACTAGCAGCTGAATCAGAGGAGGAGGAGACGTGGGAGTCAGGGTCAGCATCAAGGCAACCTGAGGAGGAGGGAAGAGGGAATGGAGCTGGCAGAGAGACAGACAGAGGCGGAGCCTGGGCTGTCCGTCAGCCCCCAGATGAAGAGTCAACAGCCCCCAGGTCTAGGGGTGGTTGATGAGGAAGAGGAGGAGCAACTGGGTCCATTGCCTGACGTGCAGATACACAGAAAGCAGAGGAGAGGAGAGCAGTGGAAATCTATGGGCCGGTCCTTGGGATGGAGGATCCCTGAATGCCTGATGTGCAGATGTGCAGAAGGCAGAGGAGAGGAGAGCAGTGGAAATCTATGGGCCNTAGGAATTGCCCAAAGCCCTTTCATTACATCATCACCCAGCAAGAGTCAACCAAGCCTGGGACTCAAAACACAACCTATGAAGTTACCCCTGCATGTCCCCATGACAAACAATCAGAACACAAGCTCAAATTCAAAAGCCCAGAGAGGTCTTAAAACCCAGGCACTCATGTGATCCTGTCCACCATTAAACCACCTTTCCAAACATTGTTTCCACTGTCTTTCTTTCTCCCCACTTGGAACTGAACCCAGATGGACATTTCTTCCAACAGGGGAGCTGTCCTCCGCTAACGCTGTGGGTGCACAGAAGAACATAGAATCACAAGGCTGGAAGGGACCTCAGAGGTCATCTAGCCGAAGCAAAGGGAGCGGTTTGAAAGGAAAGGAAAGCAGCTTCAGGACGATGCTCAAGAAAGGATTCCAGATGGGGAGAGCAGCTAAGGAGTGGGATTGTCTGCCTAGAGTGGTGTTTCTCCGTCTTTGAAATTTTAAGAGGAGTGGACTTCCGCTCCCAGAATTCCCCAGCCACGTCATGTGATCAAAATCGGGACGCTTGACCATTGACTCGCATTTATGACGGTCGCCGCGCCTGGGGAAGCCAGATTCACTTAACAGCCAGGTTAGTAGCTGAACAACTGCAGGGATTGACTTAACAATTGTGGTAAGGAGGGTCGTAAAATGGGGCAAAACTCGCTTAACAAATGTCTCACTTAACGACGGGAATTTTGGGCTCCATTGGGGTAAGTCAAGGAGTACCTGTAAAAAAGTATGAAGGCTAAAGATCAACGGCTTCATTCACGGTTCTCCCTTGTTAACCAAATAACTTGTTAATAAAATAATCAATTAATAAACACCAACCTTCTGGAACCTTCCTCTGTGAGTGCAAGGACCTGCGAAGAAGAAACGAACAGGGGTGAATAGATATACAAGGAGCAGTCTACAAAATACAAATTGTTATCTTTTGAGAGCTGAATGCAATGAAATTTCATTTTAATGTATGCTGATTAGTGTACATTTACAGTGACAATAAAGTATGCTATTTTTTCTATCCTGAATTCTATTCTATTCTATTCTAATCGATTCAATTCTATTCTAACTGATATTTCTGTTCTATTCTATTCTGAAGTCTATCCTATCCTATCCTACCCTATCCTGAATTCTATTCTATTCTGAAATTCTATTCTATTCTATTCTATTCTATTCTATTCTGAATTCTATCCTATCCTATCCTGAATTCTATCCTATTCTATTCTATTTTGAATTTCTATTCTATTCTATTCTGAATTCAATTCAATTCAATTATTTTCTATTCTATTCTGAATTCTGTTCTATTCTATTCTGAATTCTATTCTGTTCCTATTCTGTTTATATTCTGTTCTATCCTATCCTACCCTATCCTGAATTCTATTCTATTCTGAAATTCTATTCTATTCTATTCTGTATTCTATTCTATCCTATCCTATCCTATCCTGAATTCTGTTCTGAATTCTATTCTGAATTCTATTCTGAATTCTACCCTGAATTCTATTCTATTCTATTCTGAATTTCTATTCTATTCTATTCTGAATTCAATTCAATTCTATTCTATTCTGAATTCTATTCTGTTCCTATTCTGTTTCTATTCTGTTCTATCCTATCCTATCCTATCCTATCCTATCCTATCCTATCCTATCCTATCCTATCCTATCCAGAATTCTATCCTGAATTATATTTTGAATTCTATTCTATTCTATTCTATTCCATTCCATTCCATTCTAGTTGCTCTGGAAGACCAGTAGGGGGCAGCCTCCTCTTAAAAAACTTTTTTTTTTTGGCCAAATCTGAGCATTATACAACAGCCACAGGTTGCGAAGAGGAGGTGCTAACAGGGAACCCCCAAACGTTACACACACCCTTGCTAACAGCGTGAGATTTGCAACCGAGGCCATAAGGGGAGTGGTGGGTGCCTGAAGCCCTGAAGGTAGCCTTTCACTTCCGACCACCCATTTAGTGACCGTTTGAAGTTACGATGGCACTGGAAAAAGTGACTTACGACCGTGTTTCACACTTACGACCGTTGCAACCTATGTTGCAGGTCACATGATCAGAATTCAGACGCTCGGCCATGGGCTCACATTTATGACGGCCGCAGGGTCTCCGGGGGGGGGGGATCCTCTTTTGCGACCTCCCGGGGAAGCCAGATTCACTTAACAACCACGTGACTCCCTGAACCGCCGCAGTGATTCACTTAACAATGGCGGCCAAAAGGTCGTAAAATGGGGCACAACCTACAGAACAACTGTCTCGCTTAGCAACTGAAATTTGGGGCCCCAAAGGGGAGGGAGGCAGACCGTACCTGACAGCGGCATAAACTGATCGGTGGTTGGGGTGCCCGCTCACGCCTCTGGCGTCGAAGGTTACAACCTAGATGGAAAGAACCAGAAAAAGAGACTGCGTGGTCTATTTATTTTTAAACTCAAGGGGAAGGCGTTTTCCACCTATCACAGAATTACACTATTACGAAGGAAGGAAGGAAGGAAGGAAGGAAGGAAGGAAGGAAGGAAGGAAGGAAGGAAGGAAGGAAGGACAAAAGGGGGACAGAGAAGAAGGGAAGGAAGGAAGGAAGGAAGGAAGGACAAAAGGAGGACAGAGAAGAAGGGAAGGAAGGAAGAACAAAAGGGGGATAGAGAAGGGAAGGAAGGAAGGAAGGAAGGAGGAACAAAAGGAGGACAGAGAAGAAAAGGAAGAAAGGAAGGACAAAAGGGGGACAGAGAAGAAGGGAAGGAAAGAAGGAAGGAAGGAGGGAGGGACAAAAGGAGGTCAGAGAAGAAGGGAAGGAAGGAAGAAAGAACAAAAGGAGGACAGAGAAGAAGAGAAGAGAAGGAAGGAAGGAAAGAAGGGAGGAAGGGAGGGACTAAAGGCGGACAAAGAAGAAGGGAAGGAAGAAAGGAAGGTCAAAAGGAGGACAGAGAAGGAAGGAAGGAAGGAAGGAGGGAGGGACACAAGGAGGACAGAGAAGAAGGGAAGGAAGGAAGGACAAAGGAGGACAAAGAAGAAGGGAAGGAAGGAAGAACAAAAGGAGGACAGAGAATAAGAGAAGGAAGGAAGGGAGGGAGGGACAAAAGGAGGACAAAGAAGAAGGGAAGGAAGAAAGGAAGGACAAAAGGTGGACAGAGAAGAGAAGGAAGGAAGGAAGGAAGGNCACCGCTGCTAGCGAAGTCCCACCTGAGCTCTGAAGATAAAAGGCAGGGGGCGGAGATGAATTGATGTGGCAGACAACTATTCACCTCCCTGCCGGACAGATTTGTTAGCCTGCGGTGAGAGAGAAACGTTTTGCCGGCGCTCCTAATAAAGGAATCGTTTGAGTTCACTTCAGAGGGTTGGTCGTGTCTGGGCAGCTGGGTCAGAACAGTTTTGCACTTGACCGTTGCAGAATTCCCCAGGGTCCCACGATCAAAATTCAGATTCTTGACGTGGACGTATGACGGCTGCAGAGTCCCGGGGTCACGCGACCCCTTTTGCGACCTTACGACCGGCAAAGTCGGTGAGGAAGCCAGATTCACTTAACCGTGTGACTCACTTAACAACTGCAATGATTAACAACAATGCCCCCCGCCAAAAGTCGTAGGTGCTCAGAGAGCACCACATGATCCTCCTTTCCACCCTGAGCCACAGACCCAGGCGGTCCCCGACTTACGACCACAACGGAGCCCTAGATTTCAGTTCAGTTCAGTGAGGCATTTTTGTTAAGTGAGCTTCTCCCCCTTCTACGCCTCTTCCTGCCCCCGTTGTTAAGTGAATGCCTGCAGTTGATAAACCAGGTTGTTAAGCGAATCTAGCCTCCCCATGGCATTCACCGGTCGGAAGGTCGCAAAAAGGGGACCATGTGACCCCGGGACGCTGCTACCACGGTCATAAGAATGAACCGGTTACCCGGCAGCCGAATTTTGATCATGTGACCACGGAGGTGCGGGAAAACCCGTCACTGCGAAAAGCGTCCCGAAGTCCATTTTCCCCCAGGGGCGTCGTAACTCTGAATGGTCACTAAACGGACTGTTGTAAGTCGAGGATTAACTTCTCCTCCTTTGTTGACTTCTTGGGTATGGGAACCAATTTCTGGGGACTTTCCGGAGGGAAAGAAGGAGGTTATCAATGTACCTGGGCCAATTCTGCTTCTCTTTCCGTCGCTGTGACGAGAACATCGGGGTTTTGGTAGCCGCTGAGCGGAGCGTCCCAGATGGAAATGTATTTCCGGAAAACGTTCACTGTCTCAAGGACGAGGAAACGACAATCTGTGTGAGAAACACAAACAGTGGGGAAAATTCAACACCTGCCTTTTGTCTTCTGGCCTTGTTTTTCCAAAGCAAGTTTCAACAAGCCCTGGGAGATTTCTACAGTGAAATTGGCCCCTGGCGACGCCTTTAGACGATTAGATTTATAATACCGGGTTGCATAAACGATTCAAGTTGGAAGGGACCTTGTAGGTCATCTAGTCCAACCCCACCCCCCTGGTGGGTGTAGACCCTACACCATTTCTGACAGATTTATTTCCTGACAGAACAATTAATCCGTGGAACAGAAGTTGCCTCCAGAAGTTGTGAATGCCCCAACACTGGAAGCCTTTAAAAAGATGCTGGATAGCCATTTGTCTGAAACGGTATAGGATTTCCTGCCTTGGCAGGGGGTTGAACTAGATGACCTCCAAGGTCCCTTCCAACTCTGCTATTGTATAGAATAGAATAGAATAGAAAATAGAATAGAATAATTAAATAGAATAAGAATAGAATAGAATAGTAGCATAGAATAAATATGGAATAGAAGATAGAAAATAGAATAACAATAACAAAATAGAATAAAATAGTGGAATAGAAGTTGCCTCCAGAAGTTGTGAATGCCCCAACACTGGAAGCCTTTAAAAAGATGCTGGATAGCCATTTGTCTGAAACGGTATAGGATTTCCTGCCTTGGCAGGGGGTTGAACTAGATGACCTCCAAGGTCCCTTCCAACTCTGCTATTGTATAGAATAGAATAGAATAGAAAATAGAATAATTAAATAGAATAAGAATATAATAGAACAGTAGCATAGAATAAATATGGAATAGAAGATAGAAAATATAATAACAATAACAAAATAGAATAAAATAGTGGAACAGAAGTTGCCTCCAGAAGTTGTGAATGCCCCAACACTGGAAGCCTTTAAAAAGATGCTGGATAGCCATTTGTCTGGAACGGTATAGGGTTTCCTGCCTAGGCAGGGGGTTGGAACTAGAAGACCTCCAAGGTCCCTTCCAACTCTGCTATTGTATAGAATAGAATAGAAAATAGAATAGAATAATTAAATAGAATAAGAATATAATAGAACAGTAGCATAGAATAAATATGGAATAGAAGATAGAAAATATAATAACCCTAACAAAATAGAATAAAATAGTGGAACAGAAGTTGCCTCCAGAAGTTGTGAATGCCCCAACACTGGAAGCCTTTAAGAAGATGCTGGATAGCCATTTGTCTGGAACGTTATAGGGTTTCCTGCCTAGGCGGGGGGTTGGACTAGAAGATCTCCAAGGTCCCTTCCAACTCTGCTATTGTATAGAATAGAATAGAACATTGAATAGAATAATTAAATAGAATAAGAATAGAATAAGAATAGAATAA